GGCAGCATCCTACTTCTGAGAGATCGATTAAGAAACAATCCTCATTAGTCAATAAACGTGGACCTATTCTTCTGCATAACAACGATCTAAAATCAAAAATTAACTGAATGAAATCTCAGATATTTTACCGATTATTTGTAGCCATTTATAGTTGTTTTTAAAAAAATAAAATATTCGAGAAGCTAGAATCGAAGCAGCATTCGAGGAATTTTTTCTGAAACCACAAGTTTTATAAAAATATGAATATATCGGTTGGGAAAAATGATTAAAGGCTCTTCGATCGAATAAAAATAGTTTCGAAAATATATTGTTTTTCTTCCAAAATTTTATATGATATCTCTACTTTCTAAAGATCCGAATACAAATATCCCCTCGAAGAAATTTCTTATCGATAAAAAAAATCCCTCCACTCGTATTTCATTATATCGTACGTCAAATTTTTGTTAAAAAAAATCTGTAAATTAAATTTTCATACTCGAGAGATCGAAAATTTCAATCTTTATCTCGACTCGCAATATCGAGATTGTCGATCGCGAACAATTTCGTTCCCTCGTTTGTTTCGTTGCGTTTCATCCAAGGCGACGATCCCCGCAATTTCGATCAAAAAGTTTGAAAAAAAGAGTAGATCGTTGACGGGATCCTGGGGTACGCGCGAATAGACGATAACAAGCTCCGCTGGATCTCCCTTTGAACGTTATTCAAGAGGAAAATTGCTCGGTGAAATATTCACACGATGATTAACTGACGGTTAAAGCCGTCCAGCTTCGAGGGCCCAGACGTCTGCCCTCCTCGTCGTCATTGGAGGAGGAGGAGGAGGAGGAGGACTCGAGGTTCGCTTCGGGCCTCGAATTGGGAAATTGCGCACAGTCGCCATATATAATACGTCTCCTCCTCATGCGTGTCTTTTTAATGAAAAGGGGACGAAGAAGGAGGATCCAATTTCTTTTTTTTTTTTTCACATTTTGGAAGAAATATTTGTATCTAAATATTTCTGAAAGTAAATTTTTTTATTTTGTCACGTCTATATACACGTTGGGTATATTTATAAATCTCATCGGGATTGTAATTTTGTCGCTCGAGCGATGAATTTGAATTTGAACGTTCATTTGCTGCACCGTATGAAATATTGCGCTTATCAAATATATGTATTTTTCTAAGGGAAAAAAATATATGCTTATGCGAAAAATGCGAAATGAAATTGCACGTACGAATGGGATTAAAAGCGAAGGGGATGAAAAAGGATAGTGATAAATTTCCTCTAGTTCTGGAGCTAGATGTGTATGCGGAGGAAAATACGGCGAAAAAATAAGAAAGAGAGGGGGGAAGGGGAAACGGAGGGAAGAAAAACAGTGAGGAGCGCAGGAAGACATAAAAGTGAAAAAAAGAAAAAGAGAAAAGAGAGAAGGTACAAAGACAGAAAAATGCAATCAGGGAAGCGGGAAAGCCGGAAAAATAAAAAAAAAAAAAAAAGAAGAAGCGATAAAAAGAAAAAGTCATTGTCAGATGAGAATCCTTACAAATGAAGAGATTTTAAACCGGGCCCGAAAGGATCTTTGAAAAAAAAAAAAAGAAAATAAGACAATTTTTCCCCGGATAAAATTGCCTGCCTGTCTCTTAAAATTATATACCCCATTATTTCCTTTGCTTTTGCAAATGTTCAATTGTCATTGTGAGGAAGAAATTTCCGATGTACAAAAAGTAAGTAAAAAAAAAAAAAAAGAAGGGAAAAAGGTCAAAAAAAAGAAAAAGGAAACAGGGGAGGGGGGAAACCGGAAAAAAAAAAAAAAAAAAAGGATAAAAAAAAAAAGGCATTGTCCGAAGAGAAAACGGACAAATGAAGAGATTTTAAACCGGGCCCGAAAGGATCTTTGAAAAAAAAAAAAAGAAAATAAGACAATTTTTCCCCGGATAAAATTGCCTGCCTGTCTCTTAAAATTATATACCCCATTATTTCCTTTGCTTTTGCAAATGTTCAATTGTCATTGTGAGGAAGAAATTTCCGATGTACAAAAAGTAAGTAAAAAAAAAAAAAAAGAAGGGAAAAAGGTCAAAAAAAAGAAAAAGGAAACAGGGGAGGGGGGAAACCGGAAAAAAAAAAAAAAAAAAAAGCTATCTAAATTCCTCGTCGAGACGAGCAAAAAAGCTTCAGCATCCTCTTGTTTTTCAAGAGGAGGAAACTTTTGTATCGGTTCGTAGAAAACCGCTTGAAACGTGTTGACCGTGGATAACTAGAAGTTTAATTTTGTTCCATGGGAAGAATCTTCCTTTTCTCTTAAACGAAACGATCCTTTCGAAGGAATTTGAAGAGATATAAAAAAAGAATGACAATTTTGAATACAGCGTTCACTATTTGCGCAAATTTCGTGCAATGATAATCGAACGAGAAGAAAATATTGCAACGTATCGCCTTGTTTTCGTGTTACTTTTGAACAGAAGTCTTGAAGTTCTAGTCTTTTTGTTACTTTTGTTACAGTCGAGGACATAAACTCAATATTTCTGAATCGTCATTTTGCGACATTGTAATGACACTGGATGCCTCGAATCCGAAAGAATTTTTCCAAAAAATCCAAAAACTTCGTACGAGTCCATTGCCACTTTCCAGAAGTGAGACGCCCCTAAAGATAATAGTCACATTTTCTAGCATGAGCACTGATCGATCAATTTTAGCCAATTAACGCGTTTTCTGAAAAAGAAAAAAAATCAAGAACTACCATCAGAATTTTTTGCGAAGAAAAATGTCTACCTTTCTGTCCTCTTCCATTTATCATATCAGGTATCGACTTTATTTAACAGAAAACACGTTCAAGTTGCACAAAACGACGTGTTCTTCAAAGTTCTCGATCGATAAACTATTCTTTCTTGCAACGATCGATCTCTTTTCGAAAAAGAAAAAAAAAGAGGAAAGAAAACAAAGAGATTCGATTCGACCATCCTCTTCTCGATTGTTTATCTTTCGATCTTTGGTTTCAATTTACAATTTTAAACATAGTTGATAATCGGTTCGATTATTATTATATAGCACGACGAAGCAATATCGACCGATTCTTCAACTGAAAGGGGGGGAAAAAAAAAAGGGAAAAAATGGTGGAAATACGTTATCGGAATAAGTAACCATTGAAACTATTGAAACCCGGCTGGAAACTTGGGGAAAACCGAGTTAGAAAAAGTTATTATTCCAACCGGCTGTATTCCTTCTCCTATTTTTTCCTTTCTTCCTTTCTTTCTTTTCTTTTTTTTCTTTTCAGAAAGAATACAGGAAGCGGGAGGGGGAAGGGAAAGAAGTTGTTCTGCATCGATTAGCGATTTCAAACCCCCGGCGAGAACATATACTGGCCGCTGACCGACTTCCAAGTTGAAAGCATTGTTACGGATTTAATATAAGTTGGGAAAGAAGTCCGCTGGTTGGCTACTCGAGCTAGCTGATAGTGGTGGTACTGGTAGAAGGAAATAAGACAAACGAGAACGTCATAGTTTCGAGAAAGGAACAAAATCAAGCGTAACGAGGGAGAAGTTTCAGAAGACTTTATTCGAATATAAGAGACCCGGCGTTTGTAATCTCGCTTTTATTCATCCTCCATGTACTCTCGTATTTAACGTTAACAATTTAACGTTGTGTTGCGGAGCAACAGTTTTCTCGAACCGGAATGCATCTTGCCTGTAAAATCTTAGCTTGCGATTTATCGCTTTACTTTTATTAAATAAACACAGAAACGGAGTTGGCCACTTATTGAAAAATTTATCGGTTGAAATTTTATTTTTTTAAATTTTATTTAACCTCAACCTATTGAAATTCTGAGCCTTATTCAATTTTCCATCGTTCGCTTTTTCTCAAATCAAGCGTTTATTTATCCACCGTCGAAATCAAACTTAGATTCGGATTGCAATTTTTTTAAAATAAACATTTTCGCTTTCTTAATTCCTTTGATAATCGTTTCGCTTGCAAAGGTCGAATTTGAGTCGAATCGAGTTCAATAGAAATGGGATGAAATTTTTATCCTTTTTACAATGATACTCACCGAGTACGCCGAGACGAAAATTAATAGAAACGACGATAAGACGACCGTAAGCAGCCAACGCAGTGCCGTCGAAGGAATTTCCAGCGCCCCACGAATAGGAATCACCGTGTATTAGAAGAAGGGTTGGCAATAAGTCTGGGGTACTACCTGAAACATCGAAACGTTATCGTTCATCACTACAAACAATAACTGTATTTCAAAAAATAAAATTCATCTCGACGACACTTTTCCCTTTCTCTTATGTAACAAATGATAAAAACAATATATATATATATATATATTCTACGTAAAAATAAAAGCAAGTAACAGCATTTTGCTCGTTTGCT